GACCCACAGTCAACACCAGTGGAAGCAGCAGTCAAGAAATCAAGCAATGCATTGCATTGGGCAAATCTGCTGCAAAAGACCTCTTTAAAGTGGTGAAAAGCAGAGATGTCACTTTGATGATTAAGGTGTGCCTGACCCAAGCTGTGATATTTTCACTCACCTCACATGCATCCAAAGCTGGACAATGAATAAGGAAGACCAAAGAAGAATTGATGCCTTTGAATTATGGTGGTGTTGAAGAATATTGAATATACCATGGATGGCCAGAAAAACGAACAAGTCTATCTTGGAAGCAGTACAGCCAGAATGCTCCTTAGAAGCAAGGAGACTTTGTCTTATGTACTTTGGACATGTTATCAGGAGGGACCAGTCCCTGGAGGACATCATGCTTGGTAAGATACAGGGTCAGAGAAAAAGGAAGACCCTCGAGGAGATGGATTGACACAGTGGCTGCAACACTGGGCTCAAGCACAGCAATGATTGTGAGGATGGTGCAGGACCGGGCAGTATTTTGTTCTGTTATACATAGGGTCGCTGTGAGTGGGAACCAGCTCAATGGCACCTAACAACGTTTTTCTGTTAGAAAACACATTGATATATTATGAAGCCATAGTTATTTCCTGCATCGGCGCCCACAACGGGTTTAAACAAACAAACAACAACAACAAAAGGACTCCCCGCCATGGAGTCAATTCCAACTGATGGCAACCCCATGTGGTATAGAGTAGAACTGCTCCATAGGGTTGTCTTGGCTGTAATCATTAAAGAAGCAGATTACCAGGTTTTTCTTCCGTGGCACTGCTGAGTGGGTTCACACTGCCAACTTTCCAGTTAGTAGCTGAGAGCAAACCATTTGTACCACCCAGGGACCTAACAATGAGTTAAGTTCATTTCCACAGAGCTGACTTGCTGCTAGTTCTGGGAGAGTTAGCGGTGGTCCCTTTCTGTCCCCATGATCACTCTTATCCCTCTCCCCTCCCTATCTGTCTCTCCCCTACATCTAGCCCACATTGTTGGGTGACTCGTAAACCTTATACTCTCCAAGGAAAAAATAGAGCAGCAACCCCTGTTGCTTCTCCACCCTTTCTCCGAGGGCCATGAGGGTTACGAAACTGAAATGTCAAGTGCAGGCAGGAACTGCTCAGCCAGCCATCCTGAGGCAGTGGCAAGCCTCTCTTTAACTCTCCCAGTGTCACTATTGTTAGTTTAGTGCTGGACAGGAGGATTCGGAGAAAAGCATCACTTAAAGGAAAGGGCAAGAAATGGCAGGCAGGACAATGGTACTTGCCTGGGAGCCACGAAGCATGCGTTTCACCACACGCAGTCACGCTGTGTTGGAGGGAAGCTTCAGAGACTGGGAAAGGTTAGAGAGCAACAGCAGATTTTTAAAGGTTTGGATTATGAGACTTAGGAAGGAAAATGAAATGAGTTGGGGTTATTTACCTCGATGCAAGAACATGCAAAGGAGATTAGTTTTCTTTGTATCTGAGAAGGGTCATTTTGGGAAATATGGCCACCACCTATCCCCTCTTTCTGTCCTAGGCAGGTCAAGAAGAACAGGGTTTATGTGGGTGAGATGGAAGTTAAACAACCAACATTAAAGTGTTTTTAGTGCTGATGGTGTATCAGTCTCAGTGGATTAACAGAAGGAAGAAATGCACTGAATATTGAGAGATACAGACTCGGGAGCCAGCCTGCCTGGGTTAGAATCCTGGCTTCAGCACTGACTAGGTGTGACCTTGGGCAAATTACTCCACCTTTAAGCCTCAGTTACCTCATTTGTAAAATGGGGATAATAATGGTACCTACCTCCTCATATAGGCTTATTTTTAAGATTAAAAGAGTTAATATAGGTAAAGTGCTTTGAATGGCGCTTGGCACGTATTAAGGGCTATATATATGATAGAGGAGCCCGGGTGGCACAGTGGTTAAGCGTTCGGCTACTAACCAAAAGGTTGGCAGTTCAAATCCACCACTGCTCCTTGGAAACTCTATGGGGCAGCTCTACTCTGTCCTATAGGGTCGGTATGAGTCGGCATCAACTCGATGGCAACGGGTTTGGTTTTTTTTTTTAAATATATGATAGATATAATTAGCATGAGCACTGGAAGGATCTTAGGTCTTCTCGGCTAAAGCTTCGTTTTACAGATGAGAAGTCAGACATAGGAGGTAGAATCAAGATTAGAAGCCAGTTCTGCAGCCTTGTAGCCCAGGGCTATTGCCATTACTCCTGGCTACCTTTTGGAAATACACAGTGCCTCAAAGTATTTCCCTTTAGTTTCCTCTTCCTTCCCCTCCTCCTCAGAGCCAGTATTTGCAGAGTGCTTTCTTTGTGTTGGAGCCCTGGTGGCGCAGTGCTTAGAGAGCTCAGGCTGCTAACCAAAAGGTCAACAGTTCAAATCCACCAGCTCCTCCTTGGAAATCCTATGGGGCAGTCCTGCTCTGTCCTGTAGGGTCACTATAAGTCAGAATCAACTCAGCGGCAACGGGTTTGGGGTTTTGGTTCTGTGTGTCAACCCTGTGCTAAATGCTTGCATATATGACCTCATTTAATCCTTACAGCCACCTGTGAAGCAGGTGCCGCTATTACCCCATTTTTTAGAAGTGGCATCTGAAGCTCAGGGAAGTTTGGTTACTTGCCCAAGGCTACACAGCTTCTAAGAGATAGAGTATGGATTGGTGCCCAGGCTGACTCCAAAGCCTCTGCTCGTAACCACGCCACTGATTATCGTTGGAAAACCGCAACAGAGTACAGATGGGCTAAATTAAACCAACCATTGCTGCGGAAGCCACAGGGCCCAGTTGTAAGGATTTGAAGCCCTTCTGTAGTCCCTTTTCAACCTACAGTCTACTTTGTTTTTAGACCTGGGTCTTTCATATGTGTCCTTATTTCTCACACAGACGGTGTTACATTAAAACAGGCTACCAAAAGAATTTCTCTGCCTGATTAAAAGATTGAAAGTTGAAGGTTGGGCAGACAAGGAGAGTCCAGGACCAGAACTTTCGTGAGAGAGAGGCTATCTGGGAGTTATCAGGACTCTGGGCAATGTTGGGGTCGCTGCCAAGATCCTAATAAACCAGAGAAGACTGGTCAGATGTCAGAATTCCCACCTAGACCAGTGAGTCTTTATTGTTAAGCCCTATAAGACTGACAACCTTAAATTCTCTTCTTCAGAAAAATGCACAAGCTTACACGCCAAAAAAGTATTTTCAGGTGACTTCAGTGTTGATAAACCCCCAGCCAGGAACCTCTGTACTAGGCAGTACATGGGCAGGACCATAATACAGAGTACTTACGAGTGTAGACTCTGAAGCCAGGCAGCCTGAGTTCAAATCCTGCTTTCCCACTTACTAGCTGTGCAACCTTGAGTCTCTCTGGGCCTTAATTACCTGAGCTGTAAAACGGGGATAATAATAGTATTTAATTATAGGGTTGTTGTCAGGGTTAAATGAGTTAATATATGTAAATTGCTATTACATGTTTAGCTCTATGTCGTGTTCATTGTTACCAGTAGTGGTAGTATTGATGTCCTTAGAGCTTAGCCCATTCTTTAAAAGTTTGTGGACAGAATGAATAATTCTAGTTAAGATGCCAAGCCTAGGATACAGCACCCCAACCAGTGTGTCACAAATGGACTGTAGTTAAGCCAAGATGTTGATCTGCTCAGCCCTCAAGGCTGCCAAAGCCCCAGCTGGTTGCTTCTGGCTTCAAGCAGCAGCGTCTGCAGTGTGACATACAAATACTTTCTCTCTGGGTGTCCTGCCGTGAAAGCTGTTTGGGCAGCACTGATGGAGGCCATCAGCTGGCGGGTAGTAAGAATGCAAATAGGCAGTCCAGGAGAATTCTGTGGATGGGTGGCCAAAAGAATCCTAACCACTGAACTTAGAGCAGGAACTGTGGGCTTCTTGCAGGCTTCACAAGGTGGGGATGTACAGCTAGAGGCAGGTTCCATGGCTGAAGCACAGGAAGCCCTACTGGCAGGAAGCTCCAGTGCTTCCCACCTCGCACATGATGACCTGGTGAATCACTGAACAAGGATTTGTGGAGAGCCTACTGTATGAGGCTCTGGAGAAACCTCAGGGAGCCAAAAGCCAGCCTGGAGCCCAAAGTCTTGTGTAGGCACCAAATGTTAAACAATAGTAGGTGGCAATAGTTAGGTGACTCCAGGGGTGTGAGTACTAGGAAGGCATGGTGCCCAGGACTGCAGGAACTTATGGTGAGGACCCAGCCTTGCCTGCAGGGTAGATTCTAAGTGTGAAGGGAAGCCACCTGAAGCGTTTTAATAGGCAAGTGGTATATTTAGGGTTTCACTTTTTTTTTTAAAGGTCTCTCTGACAATAAGTTAGAAAATGGATTGGAAACAGGCAAGAGTTTATCTGGGGACTTCAGTTAGGAAGCTCTTGTGATAAAGTCAAGAGGTGAGAGGTGATGATAGTCTGAAGTAGGTTCTTGGACTTTTGAGGGAAAGAGAGGAATCAAGGATGACTCTACCGTTTCTGCGTAGATGGAGGTGCCATCCCTTGGATAGGGGATACTGGAAGTGGAACAGGTGGGGAGGGGCGTCGTGAGTTCTTTCAAGGACTTGTTCCATGTGGTACCTGTGGGTCATTCAGTGAGGATGGTCAATGTGTCCAGTGGGTGGATGGGTCTAAGTGCAGGAGAGATGTCAGAGTGGGCAGGAAGAACCAGCGGCATGGGATTGGCTGCCTGCCTTCGACAGGACATCCCTTCTAAGGGGAGCGAGTTTAAAAGTGGATTTTGATTAATGAACTCCTACTCTACAACCGGTTTGACTCACATGCCTCTCTAATACGCTCAACTTCCAGAATTCTTAAATGTGTATTTTTTTTTTATCCTCTTTCTAAATACCGACATAGTTCTTTACTCTGAAGAACTCTTCCTTTTTCTCTTTGTCTGGTCTCATTCACTCCTTCCCTGTGTATCTTTGCAGCTGGAGGAAGCTGTACAACTCATAATGTGACGCTGTCTGTTTTCTCAGATTTGTAACCTAGAAGGAAATCTCAGACCTCAGCTGTGGCTCTCAGTGCTGCCCAGAAGCCAACTTCATGTCTGCGTGCACAAGCAGCAGTTTGCCATGGAGAGTTTGGGGCTGCAGACGGTGACCCTCAGTGATGGGACGACAGCCTACATCCAGCAAGCTGTCAAAGGTGGGTGTTTCCAGAGATCTGGGACCCCATTCTGCCCCTCAGCCTCTGGAGAGGAGTGCTCCCTTCTGAGGGTTTCACCACCACCCTGCCCTCCCGCCACATGCCCCTTACCCATCACAACTTGCTCTGCATGAGAATCTCATGTGATGTTTAATGAAAAGGGAACTCTTTAAAATAAAATGCCATCTCAGCAAGCTAGAAAATCAGACATCCCCAGCCATAAGAACCAAGGCCTCTCAAAGGCAGTATTCCTTACATGTAGTGAGTACTTAATAATTATTTCTGGAATGAATGAACACAGTGTTAGTTATGACTTCCTGTTTTCCAAGTATTCCCTGTCCAGTTTCTCAGTGTTTTCTGAAATAGTTCATCATCTTAATTCAAGTTTAAGCATCAAACAGTATCTACTGATCATCTCCTGTATACAAGATATGTTTCTAGGTTCAGATGGAGACATAGCTCTCATTCCTTAGTCCCCATCAAGGCTGCCAGATTTACCAAATAAAAATACAAGGCACACAGTTAAATGTGAATTTCAGATAAACAATGAATAAATTTTTAGTATAAGTATGTTCCAAACGTTGCATGGAATGTTGTTATTGGTTACCGTCAAGTCAGCTCCAACTCATGGTGATCTTATGACAGAACAAAACTTTGCCCAGTCCTGCACATCTTCATGATTGTTGGTATGTCTGAGTCCATTGTTGTGGCTATTGTGTCAATCCATTTCACTGAAGGTTTCACATGCATGAATATAGAACAAGATACTAAGAAATACTAAAAATATATTCATTGTTTATCTGAAATTCAAATTTAACTGGAAGTCCTGTATTTTATCTGGCAACCTACCCCTGCTCTCAAACCAAAAAAAAAAAAAAAAAAACCAAAACAAACCTCATTGCCACTGAGTCCATTCCAACTCATAGCGAACTTTAAATCAAGGCAGGTGTGGACTCAGAACAGTGTTGTTGAAGGGCAGGGCCTTCAGGCCAGGAGCCTCACCCTCACAGAAGGCTCCTCTCTCTCCTCTCTTGCCTGTGTTCTTTGGCAAACAGTTTCTTGCGTGCCCATCAAGTTGATTCTGACTCGTAGTGACCCTATATAACAGAATAGAGCTGCCCCGTAGGGTTTGCTAGGCTGTAATCTTTGTGGGAACAGTTCACCCAGCCTTTTCTCCTGTGGAGGAGTGGCTAATGGCTTTGAAACAACCTTTCAGTTAGCAGCCAAGCACTTAACCATTGTGCCACTAGGGCTCCTTTAACACTGCCTTAGTCATACTCTTTATTTTGCCCTTCTGGAGTTTGTGAGTGCCACCATCTCCATGATTGCATTGTCACTGCAACGTTGCCTTCCTTCATGTCAGCACACTGTCATGTGTATTTCAGTTCCAGGTTTACAGATAAGTTGTTTATTTCATTGTAAATTGTCTGCATCCTGATGACGACTAAGAGGTCCCTCAATCTCATCAGTAAGTGCTTTCCATATGACAGTGTTAATGGGTTCCTTTTGGAAAGATTTCTCATCAAGAGCTATCTATGATGTGTGTGTTCCAGGTGGCTTCATTCTCTGATAATGGAATTTCTCTAGAATGCTTTTTTAAATGTTGTCCATAAATTTGTATGTAACAAAACATTTGCCAATTCAACAGTTTTTCCATGTACAATTCAGTGACGCTGATTATGTTCATCTTGTGCAACTGTCACCACTATCCTTTTGCAGATTATCCCACCATTAACAGAAGTGCCCCCTTAGCTCTCCCTTTTCTCCTCCCTCCTACCCTGGTAACCACTAATAAACTTTGGTCTCTATACATTTCCCTACTTCATGTAAGTGGGATCATACAGTATTTGTCTTTTTGTGACTGACTTATTTCGCTTAGCATAATGTTTTCAGGGTTCATCCATGTTGTAGCATGTATCAGAACTTCATTTCTCCTTATTGCTGAGTAATGTCCATTGTATATATGTACCACATTTTGTTTATCCATTCATCTGTTGATGGACATTTAGGTTTCTACCTATTGGCTGTTGTCAATAATGAACATTGATGTACAGGTTTCTGTTTGTGTTCCTGCTTCCTGCTTTTGTCTGTATACCTAGGATTGGGATTGCTGGGTTGTATGGTAGTCCTATGTTTAACTTTTTGAGGTTCTAGAATACTTTTGCAGACTTCCCACCTCAGGTCTTGCCCTTCTGCTGCAGTCTCAGGAGCATGGATGGGAAAACTTAGGAACTGTAGGTAGGGCCGTGTTTACTCCTTGGACCCAGTTAGTTACCATGCCTTAGTCTTCTGCTGTGAATTAATAGTTGAATGAATGAATAAAAAGCAAGTGACCACACTTGGCCTGAGGAAGCCACACTCTTTTCTTATGTCTTTCCTTCTTATATTTGGGTCTCTTTGCCTTCCCTTTTCCCCATTTATAGCTTTCTCTTTTCGCTCTCCCTGCCTCCACAGTGTTGCAGTGTGCATGTGTACATGCGCACCGACACACACTCACACAACAGATTTTATACCACTGAGCGTAGATCTGGCCTTCAGGAACCCGAACTACATTGTACTGAAAGGTGTCTCTCTGACTGGGGAGTCCCTGGAAGCTCTTGATTCAGGCATCATTGTCTCTGCCAGCAAGCAGCTCTGTCTGGGCCCAGCTTAGCCCGCAGGCCCTAAAATTTTATGAGACTTATGTATAATTAGGGTGAGCATAAAATGTATCATTCAAACCTGGACACTTTTGAGAGTGGAAGAGTATGCTGTTAATAAATGCGCTGGGACTGTTCCATTAAATGGGAATGTGTAGTCACCTGTCTATAATGAGATGTGAGGGTCACTTCATTCAGCTACCCACCTCTCCCCATTGTAGTATCTGGCTGTTAGAGGAAATTCCAGATTAAAAAAAAATGTTTTTCAAACAACTCTCCTCAACATTTTGTTTTCTGCCTTAAAGCAATACTCACTCTACTAGCAGAAGCTTTTTGATGCTTTCAGATCCCAAGTAGCCAGTGCCCTTGCCAGGACAGGTGAAGTGTTCAAATGCTCACTGGTGGAAAGGAAGAGAGCACGCCTTTCTCCCCTCATCTCAGCTGCTTTTATCTACTACTTCTTACCTTTGTCTTCACCCCTCCTACCTTCAGCTGGGCTGTAGGACTGTTACTGACCCCAAGAAGACTCCATCTGGGTACAAGGTCATAGATTCCTCTGATGGGAAAGCATCAGCAGAGAACTGGGCCGGAAGTAGCTGCCTGGTCCTTTTCCCACATCACAAGAGCTCAAATTCCTAAACCTGACTCTTCTAAAGAAAGGAACAAACAAACCACTTTCATTAACTCACCTGCCTGCCTTCCTCCTTCCCTTCCTCCCTCTCTCAAACTCACTGGACACAGGGAGGAGCCTGCTAATTCTTTGCTTAGAGCTTTTTGCTCTTGGAAGTACTTTCCAGTAAGCGTCTGAGCTAAAAGAAGGATAATACCTTAGAAAATCTAGAATCTTGTTAATTTTTACATGGCTTGTTGTATTACCTTAGACAAGTCGATTTTTTATTAGAAAATTGAAATGAAAATATCAGAGATCAATGAAGGAAACATTACCCAACAGTGGCAGTGGAACAAGACCTAGATGGACACTAAGAGTCACACATAGCTCCCTGTGGTTTTACTCTCCGTTTCTTCTAAAATGCAGATTGGAATTATTCTAATAAAAGCTAAGATTTATTGAGGGCTATCACATACCTGGCACTGTTCCAGGTGTTTTATATTTATTAATTCTTTTAACCCTCACAGGAGCCCTATGAAGAAGACACAATTTTTCATCCTCATTTTAAGAAGGAAGAAACTAAGGCACAGAGAGGTTAAATAAGCTGTTCAAGGACACACAGCTAGTAAGAGGTAGAGCTGGAATTCAAACCCAGGAGGTCTGGCCTGGTTCCAGAGCCCATTACTACTTTTAACCGTTAAGCTATACTGCCTCATTAGAGCAGCTGGGTCTTGGCCCACTCTCACAGGGGGAAATGAGCAAATGTATTTTTGCGTCCCCAGGTTTATTGAAAATGTTACAGCATAGCAGAAAGATTCGAACGGCTCCATGTGGTAGAATATGTTTTGATTTAATTAGTTTGAGCCATGTCTGAATTTTGACCTCTTGGGGCCTTTCCAGGTTTAAGGATGTCTTGGTTATCTAGTGCTGCTATAACGAATACCATAAATGGGTGGCTTTAACAAGCAAATTTATTTTTTCACAGTTTAGGAGGCTAGAAGTCCAGACTCAGGGTGCCAGCTCTAGGGGAATGCTTTCTGTTTCTGTTGGCTCTGGAGGAAGGTACTTGTCTCTTTGAGCCTCTGCTCCTGGGCTATCTTCATGTAGCTTGGCATCTCTCTTCCTCCATCTTTGCTTACTTATTTGCTTGTTTAATCTCTTTTATATCTCAAAAGAGATTGACTCAAGGCACACCCTACACTAATCGTTTCTCATTAACATAACAAAGACAACCCATTCCCAAATGAGATTATAACCACAGGCATAGAGTTTAGGAGTTACAACACATATTTTTGGGGGACACAATTCAATCCGTAACAAAGGGCATCCTTTGTTCTCCATGAAGTTCAATCTTAGCAGCTTCTCATTAGGTTAGAAGAGCCCACTTGATTGCTCCTCCTGTGAATGACAGGAGGGGAGACTCTGTTGGGAGCTGCATGGTTCCTTCACGGGAGAGGATCTTCACCACCAGAGCCTCCAAGGCCCAGGCCCAGGGAGGCAGGGAGCAAGGTGACTCAGAGAATGTTACTTTGCCTGTGCTTCGACAAGCAGACTAGTGCCCAGAGACTCCAGTAGGCCTCTGCTAAAAACAAACAGGTGTTACTGAGCTCTTTACTGGACCTGACCTGTTTCTCTCTACTTCTACCCCTACAGGAGAGAAGCTGCTTGAAGGGCAAGTGATCCAGCTTGAGGACGGGACCACCGCATATATTCACCAAGTGGCGGTGCAAAAAGGTGAGGGTACCCCCCACACATTTAACCTGCTGGAGGGAAGCCAGGCAGCCCCCACTGAGGGACCCCTCCATGGCCCTGAGCTCCAGAGAAAGGCAAGCATTGCTCTCATTTCAGAATCTCTCTCCTTTGAGGATGGACAACCCGTGCAGCTGGAAGATGGCAGCATGGCCTACATACACCGCACACCCAAAGGTGGGGTCACAGTCACCAGGACCAGTGGGGAAGGAAGGGAGGCATAACTGACAGAGGTTGGGGGATGGCATGGCACACTCCCAGGGTGGGGGCTCAGGCCTGAGACCTGTAGTCCCCGAGGTACATACAAGCTCACCTGGATTAGCAGCCTCACCCACCTTCCTTGGTGCAAACCACAGAAGCACCTGTTTCTGCTCCCAGGGGGCTAAGCCTTGGGAGTCAGTAGCATGGATCCTGATGGTAGCTTCGGGTCTAGCACAGCTTCAAAGTCGTAGAGCTTTAAATAGGACCTGAGAATATCATCCAAGACCAGGAGTAAAAACTTACTAATATTTAAGAGTGAATTTTATAACGTACTGAAGAATAATGATTTATTCCTTCTACAAGTAATTTCTTGAGCAACTCCTACATTCCAGACACTGTGCTAGGTGGGGAGAATACAAGAGAGAATAAAGTCAGACATAGTCCCTGCTGCCCTAGAGTCTGGTGGAGGAAACAGAAGTGAAAGAAATCACCACTGATGAACTCACTGTTGCAAAGTGGGGATCAGGCTCAGGGAGGCTCTCAGCTCAGTGACGCAGGAACTGAGAGCTGAAGGATGAAGTGGAGTTAGCTAAGGGGAGAGGGCTGGCAGGAGGGTTCAGTACTCCATACAGAAGGAACAGCACGTGCAGCCCGGAGATGAGAGGAAGAAAGAATGTCATGTTCAAGGAACTGGGAGTGAGGGCAGAATGAGTAAGATGAAGCTGAAAAGAGAGGCAGGGGCCAGAGTGCTTGGAGGCTTGACTGTCAGGATAAGGATTTGGGTTTTTATCCAGTGGGCAGCAGTTGAACTGTTTAAGCAGGCAGGTGAGACAAACACATTTGTGTTCTGCAAAGATCCCTCTGGATGCCATGCATCCTGAAGGAAACCAGAGGGGTCAGGAGGCTCTTGTGGTTGTCTAAGCTAAGATGACGATAGTCTTCTGTTAGGTCCTCAAGGAGATTGTGAGTTCTCAGTTGGTGCTCCATTTGAGACCTGTTCCTTAGAGGCAGCCCCAGAAGGAGGGCCCTCAAGAGCCAGTCAGCAAGGTAAAGGGACAGGAGGAAAAGTCCCTCCAGGAGAAACTCAATGCTGAAAATCTTCCATGGTATAAGTATTTCTGGTTAACTTAAAGCCAGGGTCCTAGCTGTGTCTCTTCCCCTTGTGCGGCATCCGGGCTGACTATGGGTTCCCTGCAGAGGGCTATGACCCCAGCGCCCTGGAAGCCGTCCAGCTGGAAGACGGCTCCACCGCCTACATTCACCACCCTGTGGCCATGCCGTCAGACAGCACCATCCTGGCTGTGCAGGCAGAGGTGGGCCTGGAAGACCTGGCCGCAGAGGATGATGAGGGCTTCAGCGCAGACACAGTGGTGGCCCTGGAGCAGTATGCCAGCAAGGTGAGCACACAGGGTCTGACACCCCTCTCTCCCCGGTCCGCTCTCTGGACAGTGGAGCCTTGCATGCCCACCACCTCTTGACCCTGCCCCTTTCTTCTGCCTCTCTAGGGCAAGGGCAGGCCTGTGGTTTGGCAAGGCCTGGGCTTCTCCTTTTGCCCTTCTGCCCCAGCTCTCCCCATTTATCCCTCACACATCATGTCCAGGGTGTGCATCACAGCCTGGCTGGGGCCGATGACAGCTGTTTGCACTCACCCTTGTTTATGCTGTCCCTGTAGAGGGGAGGCAGCTGTAAGAAGTAGTGACATCCGGATGGTGGGAATTTAGCCCCAGCTTCACGTTGGCTGTCATAATGATCATCCGTGCTGTCTGAGACAACCCATGGCAGTGACTTTTATTAGTTTTCCAGTCCACTGAGGTCAGATGTTCTTGTATTTATTTCTTCTCTGCGACTCATTTAGTCATGTGGGAAAGTAACCTCAATAGGCAATGACGAGGGCAGATGCAACAGAGCAGCTGGGATTCTTGGAATGTGAGGCCAGCACAGTAGCTCACCTGAAAAGGAGAAGGCTCATGGCTCTCCACATGTCAGGCAGTCGGAGCTCTCTGCCAGAGCTGTGGTTCTGCCCGTGAGGGAAACTGGGGTACAGAGATCAGTGAGCTTTCCAAACCGGGGTGCTCCTTCCACCTCAGCTTCTGAGAGCACCAGTTTTGCCCAAAAGTGTGGGGCAGATGTTTTTATAATCATAGAGGAAAAGAGGAAATCAACATGTCTTTTTAAAGTGAAGCACAAAGCTTTACAGCAGGCCTCTTTGGGCTATGCTCACTACCCTTCGCCCCCCCTTGCCATTCCTAGACTTATATTTTGAGACTTGCTGCTGATGGAAAGGGAATCGGGCTTTAGATCATGTGCCCTGGAGTCTGCTGCCTCTGCCTCTGCCTGGTCTGACCTTGCAGGAGTTGCTCCCCTCCCCGGCCTCAGCTTGTTCCTGTCTAATGCAATGAGATTGGACCAGGTGACATCAGAGGTCACCTCCGACCCTGATGTTCGTTGATTCCTGCAATTACCCCAGAAGCTAGTGAGACATGGGAATGAAATCAGAGTGCCTAAATGGGTTAGCCCGCCAAGCAGGCCTGGCCACCTGTGACCCTTCCCCCTCCGCCCCCACCAGCTGCTTAAGTGTCCAGGAAGTGTTGTCAGCTACTTGACCCCCTGACCTGTAGCCTGACTAGACAGGCCTCGCCATGAATTTGACTTCACCCCTTTGTCCCCTACTCGCCATGATTTCCCAAGTTCTGCTTGAGGAGCTCCTGGAAAGGCCAAAGTGTGGTCCAGTGCAATCCCAGAAACAAAGACTAAGGGAGGGGCCCACCAGTACCCTGCCCAGGAAAGAAGAAGAGTAAGGGCTTGCTGTGGCCAGAGGTGGTGTGAAATGGGTGGCTCTAGCTATGTTCCCAGGAAAGGAAAGAAATTGTTAGCTGGTCGCTGTGGTTATTAGTGGGGACCTGCAGTCCCCTGCCCTGGGCCATCGCGTTTCTGGAGTTTGCTGGTGATGGCTGCCTCACTCTGGGCTCCATACCCTGCCAAGTTATTCTAGCTCAGGTCATCTCCACAGCAATCCCCTTTATTAATGCCCCTTCTGAACACAAGTTTCTGATGGGAGTAAGGGGGCGCCTCCTGTGAGAAGATGGATGTGTCCAGAGTTGCAGCCTCCTATGTGTGTATGCTCAGACGGGGATTCCGGCGCTCAGCCTAGCTCAGGTGTGACCATTGAGACATCCCCTGCCTTACCTGGCTGGCTCAGGAGATGCCCTTTCTTCAGTAGCTGTCACAGCCCCTGTAACTTTTAGTCCTCCCTCTAGCCAGCAAGATGGGAGGAGTGACTCCACATGCCAGCCCTATATCTGCAGTATGTCCCAGTGTCTGCTCCCTGTCTGAATGTGTCACCCCAGGTTGCCCTTCTTTCCGAGAGGCCCCTGGCAGGCTTATGTAACCGTGTTTATTGGGTCTTAAGCTGCCAGCTGGGCCCTGTGTCCCAACCTTCCCTTCCCTTCATTGAGATGAATGCATGTGGGATCCCAAGATATTTTCCTCAGGTTCTGCACGACAGCCAGGCTCCCCATAATGGCAAAGGGCAGCAGGTTGGGGACAGAGCATTCCGCTGCGGCTATAAGGGCTGTGGACGTCTCTACACCACTGCTCATCACTTAAAGGTAAGGTTGCCAGCAGATAGCTTCTAACTCTGCCATCTTCCCCTCTGAGCTTTGGCTAGAACTGATCTTTACCCTCAAATTACTCGTTGCCTACTGGAGGGAAGACATTAGCATACAGAAATGTCAGCACAGGGGGCTGTGAGCCACATGAAGAGTGCAGGAAGGGAAGAGACTCAGGGAGGTCTCTCTGGAGGAAGTGGGCCCTTAGCTGAAGAAGACACAAATAAAGGAGTTGACCAATATCTGGATGCTGGCACCCCGGGCCCTAAAGAGAACCAGCAAGCCCAGGCCGTACCCTGGTCCCTCTGCATCCTGTGCTTGCTTGTCCTCACAGGTGCATGAACGAGCTCATACGGGTGACCGTCCATATAGGTGTGACTTCCCCAGCTGTGGAAAGGCCTTTGCCACAGGTAACCTACCTGGATGGAGACCGACATTGGACTGCTTCCAGTGAGGGTAGGGGGTTCTAGATCAGCTTTGTGATCTCCATAAAGGATACTCAACACCAGATCGTCCTCCTGGAGAAACTACTGTCCCAAGGGCACTGACACGCAGGGCTCCATCTCTGGAGGAAGCAAGAGGCAGCATGGTGCAGGCTAGCAGAGGAACCTGGGGGCTTGGCAGCGATACCCTGCCACTCGTGTCAGCTCTGACACCCACCAGCTAGAGGGGTATTGGGTGGGCCAATGCGTCTCTCTGGCTTCGTTTTTCCCGTGTGGAGGAGAGACCTTAAACCACAGGGTCTCTAGGTTGCCTTTCAGGCTTCTGTTCTGCAGTGGCTTCAGCTGCCCCTAGAGGGAAGGAGGGCAGAGTGGCTTTTCCAGCCCTTAACTCCCAGGCTCAGGTAGGATAGAGACTTCTGCAGACCTCTTGAGCCAAAGGAACTCTGAAGCCTCACAGAGCACATCTTAAGATGGAGTGCCACTGAATTAGGAAGATGAGAAGGTTGAGCATGAGGCCCCACTGGGTGCTCTGCTCACCTCTCCCTTCCCCACACGTGGACAGGATATGGGCTAAAGAGCCACGTGCGCACCCACACTGGTGAGAAGCCATACAAGTGCCCAGAGGAGCTGTGCAGCAAGGCCTTCAAGACCTCAGGAGACCTGCAGAAGCACGTCCGCACCCACACCGGTAGGCTGGGCCCTGTTCCCTGGAAGAGGCGCTCACTCACCTTTAAGGCTTCAACCCAGTGCCATCCCTGCTCCTTGCTCCAGCATAGCCTCCCTCCTGAGCCACCCCTCACACCCCCTCATCTCCACAGGTGAACGCCCATTCCGGTGCCCCTTCGAGGGCTGTGGCCGCTCGTTTACCACCTCAAATATCCGCAAGGTACATGTGCGCACCCACACAGGCGAGCGACCCTACACCTGCCCCGAGCCCCACTGTGGCCGCGGCTTCACCAGTGCCACCAACTACAAGAATCACGTGCGCATCCACACAGGTGGGCCAGCTGGCATGCAAGGACCACCCCCTCCGAGGCCCAAACCCCTCTACCAGCTTCTGATCTGAGTTTCATTCTCAACTCCCAGCCCAAGAGCTTCTTTCTGCTGGCCCTTCTAGGTTAGTCTGAGGGCAGGAGGTTCTGTGGTTCCACCAGTATCTCCAGAACCAGTCTTTCATTTGCACTGAGGGCTTCTTCCATTTGCAGTTAGGTCCAATCCAACAGGTACTGCCAGCCCTCTTTGGAGCCCCTCAGCTTCCTGCCACCCCTCTGTACCTACCCTGAATCCTCCAGCTGAGCTCCCAGAAAGAGGCCAGGGACCTTGGGGAAAAGGCAGAGTGCAGCGTCACCTTCATCTCATCACCTCATCCAGTGTCCATATGATTCCTGTGTGTCCTCGCCTTCCCCAGTGTTATGTCCTTGTCCAGCCCTCTGTGTGAGCTCTTCTCGGCCATCTGCGTTTCCTCACTCTCACATCTCACCTAATACTTCAGTCACTCCTCTCTGTCTCCTGCCTCTTCTGTTTACCACTCTGTACCCTCCCACCCTCAACCTTGAAAGCCCTCGACACCCCACCAGCCTTGCCCTGTCCCCCATTCTCTCCACCTTATCACTGGGCTCAATGGTCCCACACCCACGTCCTCACTGCATTCCACCAGCCGTCTTCCCCAACTCTGTCCATCTGTAGTCCCAGATCTCAGTCCCTCTCCCTCCCTCTGTGGCTCTCCCTTCACCAACCCTTCCCCCACCCCTGTCCCTTTAGTTTCCCCCTTGCCAGCCCCAGTTCCCGCCCCCCTCACAGCCCAGTGTCCCCAGGGGAGAAGCCATACGTTTGCACGGTGCCAGGCTGCGGGAAGCGCTTCACTGAGTACTCAAGCCTGTACAAGCACCACGTGGTGCACACACACTGCAAGCCCTACACGTGCAGCACCTGCGGCAAGACCTACCGGCAGACCTCCACCCTGGCCATGCATAAGCGGAGCGCCCACGGCGAGCTGGAGGCCACGGAGGAGAGCGAGCAGGCCCTTTATGAGCAACAGCAGCTTGAGGGTGAGGGTCTTGGCTAGAGGAAAGTGGGCAGGGGTGAGAGTGGGGACAAACCAGGCCTCCCCATGGCCATCCGGTGGCAAGTGTCAGCCTGGGCTCTCCTCTCCCAGCCACCTCTGCAGCTGAGGAGAGCCCACCACCCAAACGACCTCGTGTTACTTACCTTTCGGAGGTGAAGGAAGAAGGTGATGACATCCCAGCCCAAGTGGCCATGGTGACAGAGGAGGACGGGGCCCCTCAGGTGACTCTGATCACTCAGGATGGTGCCCAGCAGGTACAGGCCCTGGGGGGCAGGGGTGGGGGTGGGCCACTCTGGCTGACACCTCTCCCACTCTCTCTGAGGGGCCTTGAAGTTCTAACAGTGCCACCTCCACGCTCTTTCCCTTTCTAGCTGTATGGACCTCAGCTGAGGCCTGAGGCTGAAGGGACCAAATCTTGTAACTCAGCCCCTCCTCCTCCTCCTCATGCTTCGAACTCACTCTCTGGGAGTTAGTAGTTTCCCTTTTTACTTGGAGGCTGAGACAACCCTGATCATCTGAATGAGACACTTGGATGGCCTTCTTAAGAGAGGCATGTTGGTATAGGGGCCAGAGCATGGCATGGGGTCTGGAAGCCTGGGGCCCAGTCCCATCAGTGACTAACCAGCAGTAGATCCTGACCCATGTCAGCACCCTTCCTGTCAAATGCGCCTATGCCTTTTGGAGTTGTCATGGGGATAAAATTAGTTGGATACCCTGAATTACAGAGAGGAGAGCACAAAGGCCAAGAGGTGGTAAATAGAAGTGTCAGCAGTATTCTTCTAGTACACCTCTCTTTGTAACCTAGGACCTGTTTTACTTGCTGGTCCTCCACCCCTGTGACATGAAGCTAACCTTTTAGCTTACCAACAAACTCACCTTGTCTGGGAGAGCAGATACGTCCTCATTAGGGACTTTCAGACAACCCAACTCTAGGGCTTCCAGCTTATCTTCTCCCCTCCTATCAGCAGGTCAGCCTGTCCCCCGAAGACCTGCAGGCCCTGGGGAGTGCCATCAGTATGGTGACCCAGCACGGCGGCACCACCCTCACCATCCCCAGTCATGACAACGACCTTGTCCCGTCTGGCACACATACGGTCGCCATGGTCAGCGCTGATGGCACACAGACACAGCCCGTATGACCAGGCGGTTTGCTTGGGGTTTCTTCTTTTCTTGTCATTCCTTGCGTGGGGCGGGCATTAAAGTGCAGGCCAAGCAGTCAAGCTTTCTTTCAAGCACAGTGATTCCCCAACAAAAACGAGTCTTCTCCACAGCTCCTGTGAGCCATCAGAAATTCTCATTCTTCAAAGCGTTTGACTGGGAGGCAGAAGACAGTTTCTGAATCTCTGATTATCCCTAATTTGCTTTGCAACGATAGGCAAATCACTTTTCCATGGACTTCAGTCCATTTTCAAATAAGGAGATTAAATTATTTTTGGAGTCTTTTACAACTTTGCCCTTCTATGATTCGAAATTCCTAAACTGAATTGGAGAAAAACCCACCCTCGCTTAGCTCTGAGCCCCAAGCTAATTAATCTCACTCGTAATGGTTTTCTCCATTCCCTTCTGGGTTGTTCCCAACCACCTTGTTCGGAGGCATTTTTATTTCAAGTTAGAGGAGGGAGAATCATGCAGGTGGGTTGGAAAACCTCATTCTGTATTTCAGGTCACAATCATTACCTCTGGAGCGGTGGTGGCTGAGGACTCAAGTGTAGCATCCCTTCATCATCAACAGGTGGCGCTGTTGGCTACAGCCACTGGAACACACATTGCAGTGCAGGTGGGTAAAATCTGGGAAGAACCAGGATCCCACGCCGGGGGAACAAAGTGGGGAAATTAGGTGGGAATCTTGAAGAGAAGGGTATTTGACTTAAAAAGAGCCTGTTGCAGAGGAGAAATCCCTTTCTGCCTATATCCACACTTCTGTTTTGGGCTCTTTCTTGGTTGAGACAGTGTAGTGAAGCCCTTTTGAGCCTTCAGGATAGCTTTGGTGGCCATCCATCTGGAGGTCCAGGACCTTTGTGTCTTCAAGTCTCCATTTCTTAATGTGGAAAAGAAGTAAACTGAAGTATATGGTTGCTCTCCTCTCCAGCCAGCCTCTGAGTGAGCTGGTCTCTCTGACCTGGGCCACTCCTTGACTTCCTAGCCATGCCTAGACTAATAGAACTCTGTTAATGAACTTCCTGTTTATTGGGGCCCTACTGCGTGTTCAATGTGTGGCATAGAGTGGATGGCAGAGATTCAAAAGAGTAGACCACACAACCTGTGCCCAAAGCAGGAGAATCTAGGAGGAAGGGTCTCACCATCTCCCCCTTTCTTCTCCGCAGCTGGAGGAACAACAGACCTTAGAGGAGGCCCTCAGTGTGGCCACTGCTGCTATGCAGCAAGGGGCTGTGACGCTGGAGACAACCGCATCGGAGAGTGGCTGCTGAGCCTGAGAGGGCTGGGTCCCACACCATGCTGAGGAGGTGCCATGCCGCACAGGCATCCTTGCCTCCAAGGGCCCAGGCTGTGGCTGACACGTGTAATGTGGTCACAAAGGTCCCTGGGCAAGAAGGCAGCAGGAAAGCGGCCTAACTGAAGGGTATGGGGCCCCTACCCAAGAGGAGGGCCAAGCAGTCAGAATCGAGGGGGCGTCATCCTCGTGAGCTGAGGAGGACAAGCCTGATCGCTAGGCTGCACCAGGGCATCCTCCCCTCAAAATCAGCTAGGTGACCTCTCTACTTTCTCTAGATGACATCCTTCCTGCCTCAATTCTCTCCTCTTCCTCAGGTGGAGACTGGAGCTGCTGTAGGGACTGGTCCTCCACCCCAATTGGTCACTGCCCACCATGGGAAAGGGCAGACAACTTTTTGGTCCAGTAGGGGCAGAGCAGGCCCGGGCCTGCCACTCAGGGGTTTCCCAGCCCCTCCCCGTCCCAGCAATAACCACCTCCCCAGAGGCCAGCCAAGATGCCGGGCCATTTGGCAGCAGGGACTTCCTCAGAATTCCTCAGGGGCCTGTGGCTGGAGAAAGGGTGCCTAGCCCCCACCATTCCCCAGCTGCCCCAACCTCTCTGCGGCAGAGGCAGGGAGTGGCCTTGTACATAATCTGCTGGGGACTGGATTTAGTTTGTTGTTTTTTTTTTTTAATTCCATTTTGATAATTCTTTTTTCCTGCTCTGGACGGTGGTGGCAGACGGGTGAATGAGTATTTAATAAAAGTTCCAAGTTTCCACCTGAGTTTCTCCCTCCCTCCTTTCAGCTCTGGGCCCTGGTGTTAGGGCTGGTGAAGTATCCCTAGCACAAACCCCATACCAAACTGGTGGACTGGCCTTGCACAGGCACAGTTACGAGGAAGCCCCAGGTGTAAGAGAAGCCCTGAGGAGCTGTCAGTGGCTTCCTGCCCACAGCTGAGTGAATAGGCTCCAGGATGGCAGTGCGGGGCCCAAACAGGTCCAGGATGACCCCTGCTGTGAGACTTTGGTTGAATTCCAGGCCAAGGATGGTCAGGCTGGAGGAACTCTTTTTTTCTGTCTAGTGGAATCTAGTCAGAACCCCTCCAGGCCATCCCCTGTACAGTCAGCTGCTCCGAGTGGGCAAAGTCTCAGGTTAAAGGGGTGGGAATACCTTTGCCAAGGTCATCAAGGCTCAGGAAGCAGAATCTGATGCCACTCCTTTGCGGTTCTGGTGCTGAACAGTCCTGGCTCTGTTGCCCAGCTCTGGGGGTACCCACCTAGGTGCCTGGGGCCGTGCTGTGGGATTTCAGAGCCACAGTCAGACCCCACTGAGAAATGAGTGGAAAGGCCAGACCAGTGCCACCAGGAAGTGGGTGCAGAGGAAAGGACTTGATGGAAAAGAATCCTTTGGGTTTGATCCCGCCTGGAGGAGAACATCACAGGACTGGAGATGGCTCTTTCCACTGTGATAGGTGTGCTTCAAACCCCATGGTGCCACCCAGGAATGGAACCCCCAACCCCAACCCAAGTACCATCTCCTGGGCTACTGAGAAGTTTCTCACTTTTGCCACCAGCTCTTTGAAAGCAGAGGGGGCTGAGGCATGCCTCTGAGAAGGGGTCTCAGAATTGCCTGAGCAGGCCGGCTCCTACAGCCACCCATGACCCCCACCTGGAAATCCACAAACCACTGTCCTGGCTTGGGGCGGGGGGGGGGCAGGGGGCAAAGTGTCCCATCCCTCATGGGCATTGGATCTAAAGAAATGGATGCAGTGATCTGGAGTCCTGCAGCTGGGAACACCACAAGGCTCAATCCCATGTGCTTTAGAAACAGTCTACAGTGTCTTCAGGGCCAGTGAGGCCCAGAGTGGGTAGTGCTCTGAATGCCTAGACAACAGGGAGCCAGCAAATCAAGCGCCAAGTCTGGCTGACCTGGAAAGGTGCCCTGGGCAAGTTCCTCCTCCAACTGTGTGTTGTTGCCTTTGTTTTCTTCCTCTTGGGTGGGGCCCCACCACTGCGGTAATGTTAAAACCCAAAGCTGTTGAGTATAATTCTGACTTACAGCGACCCTATAAGACAGAATAGAACAGCCCTATAGGGTTTCCAAGGCTATAAATCTTTACGGAAACAGATTGCCACATCTTTATCTGACAGAGCAGCTGGTGGGTTCGAACCACCAACTATTTGGTTAGCAGCTGAGCACTTAACCACTGCACCACCAGGGTTCCTCTGCTGTAATGTTAGGTGGCACTGAAAGAAATGCTTTGTTGAGTACCTACTATGTTTTACATCGATCCTCACACATTCTTACAACTCTGTGGGGTTGACATTTTTCCTGTTTTGCCAATGAAGAAACTGCTCAAGGAGATTAACTTATCCAAGATCTCCCACCTAGTAAGTATGGAATCGGGACTGGACCCACAGTCTGCGTGACTCCGAAGTCAGGATGGGTTTCTTTCTCCCTCAGAAGCTGCCTCTGAGAGCCCAGGAAGACTCTGGGCCTTAGGAGGCTCTTACAGGACTTCACACACCCCAGGAGCCAGGCCAATATAGGATGGGGGCTGTGGCTGTCCAGGGGTCGGTCCCCAGTTCTTGAGCAGGGAGTGTGGACACTGAGCACAGCCAGGATGACAGGCTGGTTCCTGCCAGCGTGGGGAGCCTGTGCAAACAGGCAGGTGGAGCTCTCGCTCTGCGCCACAGGCCCTCTGCGGTCTGCAGCCGTTTGCATTTCCTGAAACCGGATCTTGGTGTCAGAGCCGCCCCCGGACCAGGCGGGCGGGCGCCTCAGCCATGGCCCTGATGGCCCTGCGCAAGGAGCTGCTCAAGTCCATCTGGTACGCCTTCACTGCACTGGACGTGGAGAAGAGCGGCAAGGTCTCCAAGTCTCAGCTCAAGGTGAGGGGTACCCGGGGCCCAAGGGAAGACTTCAGACTCCTCTTACTGGTCCCTGCTGCCTGGGAGCCAGGCATGGACACCGTGCCACTCTGGGGACGCCCAGCCATCCCAAGGCCCAGGCCTGGGGGGTGGGGAGGGCAGTACTGGGTAACTAGGGCGGCATGGCCTGGTGGACACTGCTGCCCCCCATACAGAGGTACCAGTGAGGTGCGTGTAGAGACACTACCCAGAGCCGGGCCTGGGACTGTGGAGGGAATGATGGGATCTGAGGGCCATGGGCCAGGGCACATCACGGGCTGAGATGAGCAGACATGTACCCTTAAGAGTCATGCTTGGGCACACACCCTACTCCCTGCTGTTTCCTCTTCGCTTTGAAGAGACAGTTAGCCAGCACTTGTCAGTCACTTCCTCCCAGAGCTGAGGGAGGCAGAAAGGGCCTCTCCTAGTCCCAAACCAGGCTGGCTCACCGCCACTCATGGGCAAGAGAGTAGCTCCTCTGAATCCTGCCCCCCAAGTAGGACAGAGCTGGGAAAGGGGCCAGGATTGAGAACCTCATTATGCTACTACCTAGCGCACATGCATGCACACACATGCAGGCACACGCGCATGCATGCATGCATGCACACACCAGGTTGGGAAAGTTACCTTAGGCCTCGGGACCTCAGGAAGGGAGGAGGCAGGATCTGAGCCCAGGAAAATCCCCATCAGTGGTTGCCATAAAGTTCATCATCTGGCCATAGACAATTCCTGGGAGGCCAAAGAGTTTCTCTTCCTCCTCCCTCCTCCAGTCCTTGGTTAGTGCTGCCTTCCCCACCCTAGTTAGTGGCACAAAAGACCCTACTTCTTAGGAAGCAGGGCCCTAGGTGACTGGAACAAGGGAACACTGGTGGAAAGGGGCAGAGCAGGCTTTAGCTCTCTGGGACCTGCCTAGGGATTCATTCATTCACTCTACAAATATTTATTGAGCACGACTGTCTCGCCTGGGCCCCTCCCCGCCTAGGAGGGTACTGTCTCAAGGGACCTCTATGCTAAGGACCAGAGTAGGATGTACCTGTAAACCTGAGAGAAGTGAGCAGGACAGGAGAGGCATTATGCTCCACCCCCACTTCAACCCCCCACTTTGCTGAACTTGGACCCAAACTGGTCTTATCCTATAACCAGCCTATTCCTTAGCCGGACTTGTGTTGTTGTTGTTAGGTGCCGTCAGGTTGGTTCCAGCTCGTAGCGACCCTGTGTACAACAGAATGAAACACTGCCTGGTCCTGCACCATCCTCACAATCGTTGTTATGCTTGAGCCCATTGTTGCAACCACTGTGTCAGTCCATCTCATTGAGGGTCTTCCTCTTTTTCACTGACCCTCTACCAAGCATATGTCCGTCTCCAGGAATTGGTCCCTCCTGATAACATGTCCCAAGTACATGAGACAAAGTCTTGCCATCCTTGCTTCTTAGCATCCTGGCTGTACTTTTTCCAAGACAGATTTGTTCGTTCTTCTGGCAGTCCATGGTATATTCAGTATACCGGACTTGTGAGCATATGATTAGTGGTCACCTGGGGAGAACCTCCCAACAGGCAGGTTTTTCCTTACATCTTACTTAAATCTCTCTTCTTACAGATCCTGTCATCTGGTTGGGTCCTCAGTATAGACGGAAGTAAAGCAGATCATTCAAAATCCATCCCTGCAGAAACTCTGTGTCCCACACTCACCTCCCACCCTTTAATATCTTGCTGGAACATTCCCAACCCCTATGGCTTATTGCCTCCAAAGTACCATTTCCCACTCTCCATTACCTGTGACCCCTGTGGTCTCTCCAGTCTCTCTGTGCCCCTCACATATGGGGTGACTCCCCTTTCCCTGGTGCCATCAGCCAGTTAGACCTCCTAGCTTGAGCCTCTTAGTCTTTAACTAGACTGATGGCAACCTCCATCACCCCTACAGCAACAAAAGGAGTTGAGTATTTCCAGGGAGGATTCCATGGGGAGCTTGCATACTTAAACTATCCGCTGTCCTTGGACCACATCATCCCAGCTCAATCTTAAGCCCACTATCAGCAGCACCTCTGGTCACCCAGGACCAATGGTAGATTTCTTCCCCAGAAGTGTCCACTCTGGGAATCCGAGCTAGCAGTAGAAGGCTCAGGGGCCCAGTGAGGAGTGCAGCAGAAATGACAGGGCCCATGTCATAGGAGGGAAGGATGGGGAAGCAGTGCTCCCCCAACCCCATATTGGTGGGTACTGGATTGGGAGGAAGTGATGATAGTGTTGGGGGCAGGGGTGCCAGAAAGGTCAAAGAAGCAATAGAGAAGCGGTCAAAAGGCACAGGAAGAAGCAGATGAAAGAGATACCAGCCGGGCCCACTCCCTCCCCAGAAAAGACTTTGGGAGAAAGGAGAAGATCTTGGGGTTAGCCTGTTCTTACTAAAACTGCTCCTGGCCTTGGGGTCCTCAGTTGGGATGGGGCAGGAGACCTGCACCAGTCCAGGGCAAGCTGTATCTGCCTGTGACAGTCACCTTTTCTCCCTTGATGTGTTGCTGCTTATTGACCTGGAAAACCCATGATGAGGCCAGAGGGAGGAGGAAGAAGAGCAAGTCCTCTGAGAAAAAGCCCAGGGAGTCAGGATAGTTTTCCCTGGGAAAGCAAAGGCTTGATGGAGAGACCAGAAGGGTTTTCCTCTCTTTGAATTATTTTGGAAAGTGCAACGGTCTTTGTCCATTTGGGTTGAGAACATTGAAAATAGACCAATAGGAATGGCACATCTTCCCGGAATGGACTTAAGTTGAACACAACTTCTCAGGAGTTGAGGGCTGTGAGTTTTTGCAGGGTCTGCAGAACCTCCTTCTCTAAAGAACTTAGGAGAGCAACTTTGATTTTAGGCCTGGTGGGGGATCTGCTAAGAATTTGGTCTCCTTCCTTCTCTACTTCCAAGTCTAGAGGTATGGGGAAGAGGATGTGGATGGGGCAGTGTGTCTCCAGCTTGACAGGATCTTAGGAGGCTGCAGGTCCAGCACTTCCCCTTGATGGCAGGAGCAGGGGGAGGCAGGAAGGCTGTGTAGGGGTCTTCCCTACTTGGTTACATCAAGCTTCCCAGGCTTCTTAGCTCCCAATTGACATTCAGGGTAGTCCTGGCGCCCAGGGAGGGTCTCTTGCCCACTGAGAATCTCTGTGCCTCCTTTGGTTGGGGAAGTTAAGAACAATGCCAGTCCAAAAACCTACTGGCTGGGGTGTCTCAGCTTTGCCCTGAACCCAACATGCTGCCAGTCTCCTCAGGCTAGAATTGGAGGGAAGGGGTGAGGAGGAGGAGGATTTAATGATGTGCAGAGCCCTGGACTTACAGCCAGAGAGGCTTGGACCTGTATTGCTCCCCAGCTGGCTGACCTTGGGCAAGTCACTGTCCATCTCTTAGCCGCTGGTTTCTCATCTGTAAAGCAGGAGGGTTGAACTAGGTGATTGCCAAGCTGTCTAGACAGCCTACTAAAAAAACAAAACAAAACCTCAAGTAATTGAAACTGATCCTTGACGCAGCCTTCTTTTCCCTTTTCCAGGCCTCTGTCTTCCCTTTGATAACCACACCCAACCTCTCTGGCCTCATTTTGCTCTCAGCAGACACACAGCTAATCCAGAGATTCCCAACTTTTTCAAATTCCTAGTGCTCTTCCCTCATGATAGGAGTTATCCTTTAGTACCCATCAGTTGAGAAAATCCAGTCACTAGCTCTTTTAAAAGGGTCACTTAGCACCTAGATACATTTAAAGACTGCAGTCTATCTAGGAGAGATTATTCATTCTCTGCAGTCATTGATGGTCCTTTTACGGATTCCCAAACCCTCTACATTTACTCTCTGGCCAGCCAGGGGTTCAAGATCCTGAAGGCTGGAAACTACAGGTGCAGTCCTTACAGCTGTTGTAAATAAGGCCTGACACCTGTCCCTATCCCCAGAATTGAGTTTTTAGGGGACGCCAAGCCCCAGATAAGGAGCCGTGTTGGCACAGTAGTTAAAGCTTTAGGTCGGCAGTTCAAACCCACCAGCCACTTCACAGGAGAAAGATGTGGGAATCTACTTCCATAAAGATTACAGCCTTGGAAATCCCGTGGAGCAGTTCTACTCTGTCCTATAGGGTCGCTATGAATCAGCATCAACTCAACGGCAATGGGTTTTTTGGTTTAAGCACCAGAGGAGAACCACCTCCCACGTGCTTCTAGAGTGAAGAGTAAATAAATGAAGCCTTTTAAAGGTTAACAGCTGCCCACCCAGAGGTCAGGGGCTGCCTGGCTATGTGGGGAGATTGTGGGAGTTCTCTTTGAGGGAGCCCAAATGAGGGCAACATGCCGGTCACTGGTTCACACCATGGCCCATCTCAGATGACTTCTCTGGGGTGGTGGTTCCTAACCCTGGCTGAGCATCAGAGTCACCCAGGCAGCTTGTGGGAAATACAGACACCTGGACCCCACCCCTGGAAACTCTGAGTCAGTAGGCCTGGGCGGGCTGCCATATTTCAGTTTCACCAGCTCTCTAGGTGATTCTGATGCCCAGCGTGCGTTAAGAGCCAGCACCAGTATTGCTTAGAGAGCCAGAGCAGGGCTTTGGAGTCAGACCTTGGGCAAAACCTTTGACTTCTCTGAGCCTTGATTTCCTCATCTGTAAAATGAGGATAATGACAAGCCCTGCCTCCAGGGCTGAGGATTGATTGAAATCAGCAGGTGAGCTCCTGCTCATCACTGGCCTCCGCCCATGCCATTTCCTTTCCAGCATGGCCCCTCCCCTAGTCACACCCTCTCCTCCCCACACTGCACCCCACCACAGGAAGCCTGGGAGTCTGAGGTCAGCCCAGCTCTCTGGGGAGAGGCCCTGAGCCCTGAGTCTCTGGAGCTTTTTATTCCTCCCTTGTCCTGACACCTGATAGCTCACGGGCAGAGCCTCTGCCCTGGGCTCTTCAGATTCCAATGTCAGGAGATTCAGGTGAGGAAAATGGTCTAAGTAGGTCTTCGAAGACAGTGTGGACATGTGAGCCAAGGTAAGGAGCCCCTCAAATAACTCAAAAGCTCCTATGTAGCAGGTTCTATTCTGGGATAAGGGTGAGGTCTTTTAACACCCTTTTTAGAGATAGGAAAACTTGAGCCCAGTGGAGTTAATTTGCTTGAATAGATTCAGTCCATGTGTGTCTGACTTTGATGTTTTTTTTCTACTTCTTCTGAGAAAAGGTTTAACTTCATTCAACACGTATGAGTGCCTGTATGTGTCAGGCCCAGTGATAGAGCAGTGAACAGAACAGACAAAACTCCCCACCCTTGTGGTGCTGGCATTCTAGCCAGACAGATGATAAACAAATAAATTGTATAGTGTGATGGAAGGTGATACATAACATTGAGGAAAATAAAGCAGAAACGGAAATAGAGAGTATGTATGTGGGGAGGTGAGGGAGTTAAGAGTTAAAGAAGGTGGTCAGGGAAGGCCTTCCTGAGAAAGTAACATTGAGTAAAGAACAGGAGGAGAGAGTGAGCCATGCGGAGACCTGGGTGAAGAATGTTCCAGGCCAAGGGAACAGCAAGTGCACAGGCCCTGAGGCAGGAGTGTGCCTGGCCTGTTTGAGGAACATCAAGGAGGCCACAGTGCAAGAGGGATGAGATCAAAGAAGGTACAGGAGGTCAGGTCTCATGGGTGCAGAGGCCTCTGGAAGAACTCAAGCTTTTACTCTGAGAACGATGGGAAGCCACTGGAGCATTTAAGTTAGGTTTGAGAAGCTCATCAAAAACATTTAGTATGCGGGGGGCACTGTACTGAGCTCTGGAGTCAGGGTTGGGATTCGCGGCTGTCCTGCCCTCAAGGAATATAGAACAGCAGAAGTGCTCACACAAACAGGGAACAGTGAAAGAGTATCATGACAGAGCAACTTAATAACAGGGCACATTAATAACAGTGGTTAATGCCACTCTTTGTCTTTCATCTCTGTTGTTTAAAAATTTTGTCATAAAAGCAATATATGCTCCTGGTTAGAAAAACTCAGCATGCAGAAGAGTATAATTTTAAAGAGGATGAAATCTATTGTAAAAGTAAAACATGTTTCTGACTAAAAAATTCAAAGAATAGAGAAGAATGTTAAAGGAGTGGAAATCCCCTCCTGTGCTCTCCACCCCTCTCCCTGGGAAATGATTGCTTTTTTCTACATAGGAATAAACATATTAGGTTAAACTGTATGAAATTGCTGACGTACTAAAATAATTTCATATAGTTCCACCTAATCTTTACAACGTATTTATTTTACAGGCATTTTATTCTGCAGCTTGCTTTTTTTCACCTGCCAATATGTATATATTTCCATGTTTGTTCATAAAATTTAATAATAAAAATAGCTCACAACTTTTATCAGACAATGCACCATGCACTAGGTACTGTGCTAAGCACTTCACTTGAAACAACCCTTTGGAGCAGGCAGTATCATTATCCTCCTAGAGGAGAAGACTGAGGTCTTGGAGAAGTTAAATCGCTTGCTCGTGAACACACAAGTGGCAGAACTATTGTCTTTTCAATCATGTATAGTGGCCCAAGGCATGGTGTACCCTAATTGTGAAACCATTCCCTATTGAAGGAATCTCAGGTTGCCTCCAATTCTTCATATTGTAAACAATGCTACCATGAACAACTTTGTACATGTAGCTCTGTTCCCTTGAGCATCTGCAGATGATTAGAAATGTTGGGGCAAAGGTCATGCCCAATTTAAAGTTTGATAGATACTTGCCCCTCAGAAAGACTGTACTAGTTGACACCTCACCAATTGGGCATTAGAGTCTCCACTTCTCCACAACATCCTCAGTACTTGATAGTGTCAGTCTTTTGCATCTTTGTCAGTTTATTAGGTAAAAACACTTTCCATATGGGAAGGGAACTAACATTTGCTCTGTGCAGACCTAAGTCTGGAACTTCATATATCTCATCTCACTCCATCCTCACAGCCTCTGCATGGCAAGTATTATCCCCCATTTTATTGACAACGAAACTGAGGCTCAGAGAGGTAAAAGGGTTTATCAAGGCCCCACAAATAGAAAGTGAAAGTCCTTGGCCTTCCACGTCCCCCCACTGGAGCACAGCCATTTGACTGGAGCTACACGGGAAGGTTTCCTTGAAGTATATGAAGAGTCTTGAAGGAAGATAAGGACATGGGTAGTTTGACAAGAGGCAACAGATGGAAATATGCAAAACACTTAACATCTGTCACTTTAGAAGTAGTCAATGAATGTTTGTCATTATTATTCCCCTAAGTCAGTCCCCTTGCATTTTAAGTGCTAGGCATTGAGCCAGTGGCACCTCTTAGAGTAGGGATTGGTATCCTACGGCTAAGATATATTAGTCAGGACTTTTCTGGGTGTAAGTGATAAAAACCAAACTCAGAATTCGCTCACATACTCAAAACCCCAAGCATAGAAGTGGCTTTAGGCATGGCTGGACCCAGGTCCTCAAATGACGACTTTGTCTCTTGGCTCTGCTTTTCTCACAGTTGGCTGTATTCTCAGGCAGTCACCTCCCACACAGGGACAAAGAAGCCGTCTGTGCTCCAGGTTTACCTTCTAACAACAACCTCATGGAGAAAGTATACTTCTTTCCACCCAAGGAAGGCAAAAATCCTAGGGCTGATTCTGAGTGGCCCAGATTTGGTCATCTGCCCATCCATAAACCAATCACCATGACTCTGATATGTCCACCCTGCAGCTGGGTGGGATGGTGGTGTAAAAGTTTGGTTCTTCTTGTAACTTGAACCATAGATACTGAAAGTGGGAGAGGGGTCTTTCCCAAAGCAAAATCAAAGCTCCATTACCAAAATAAAAGGAAGAAACCTCAGATGTCCTCTGGAACTAGGGAAGGCAAAACCGAAGATGTCACACAGGGTAATTTGAAGAACATGGGGACTAGGGTTGAGGAGAGGGCCAGGGATAGCTGCCCAGAGGGAAGTGAGGGAAAAGAGAAGCACTGACCCCTTCACTGGACACCCCGCCCCCAACTTCCAACATTGCTGAGGAGAACCTGAGGTCCAGGAGAGTACTGAAAAGAAGCCCCAAACTTTTCTCCCTCTTCTCTCTCAGAATAAGTGAAAGCTTGGTGCACGTACCATCTCTGAAACATTGCCAGCTCCTGCCTCAGAAGAACAATCCCCAGGTTAACTGCTGATGGTGGGAGCAACCCTTACTTAAATACAGCATTTATGGGCTGTCTTTGGTGTGCAGAAAAAGGTCTAAGTGTTGTGGGATATGAAGTTGAGCAGAGAACTTGTCTCCAGAGTTCACAATCCAGCTGGGGAGAGCAGCTCGGGTTCAGTATTCTAATAGGGAGGCACACTTAGCTTCAACCTCAGCTCTGCCATTTACTCTTAAATTCTCTAATTCTCTTGGTATTTTCCTGTGAAAAACAGGGATAATAAAATCTGTGTATCAGAGTCATTGTGGGGACTAGAAATGGGGTATAAAAAGCACTTCATACAGTGGCTGGCACATAGTAAAAGTGCACAATAAAAAAAAAAAAGCCATTGCCATCTAGTTGATTCTGATCCATGGTGACTCTATAGGACAGAGTAGAACTGCCCCATAGGGCTTCCAAGGCGGTAAGTCTTTATGGAAGCAGACTGCCACATGTTTCTCCTGCAGAGCGGCTGGTGGGTTCGAACCACCAATCTTTAGGTTAGCAGCCAAGTGCTTAAACCACTGCACCACCAGAGCTCCTTCAAAGTGCACAATTGTGACTTTTTAATCACTTAAGCTATCTGTGATAAGTGCTGTAATAGAATTACCCCAGGGCAATTTTATTTTTTACTTGATCCCCTTGTTCAAACTTCAACCTCCTTCTTCCAATATCCTGGGTTTCTTCCAATATCCATGTTTCCTCTCCACACCATCACGGCTGCCTGCCCCATCCCGCGGATCACTTTTCATGGCCCTTCTGTGAGCCCTCCCCAGCTGTCTTTCTTGAGGGGCAGTGACTGGAACCATACATTCCCTTCCTGGAGCAGACACACCTGGGTGCTAGGCACACTGCAACCTCACACTGAACCTTGGATGGAAACTGATAAATTAGGGGCTTCTGCCCAGGACAGAGTCCCTGGGTAGTGCAAACAGTTAACTCTGCAGCTGCTAAGAGGAAAGGTTGGAGATTCAATTGCCTCCAGAGGCTCCTGGAAAGACAGGCCTGGCAATCTACTGAAAAATCAGCTATTGAAAACTCTATGGAGTGCAGTTCTACTCTGACACACATGGGGTTGCCACGAGTCAGAGTTGACTTGAAGGCAACTGGTTTTTTGTCCTGAGGTGGCTGGCTGCTTCCCTTCAGTTCGGGCAGCCAAGCATCGTGGGAAACATTGGGCTTTGGAACTGCACAGAGATGGATTTGAATCCCAGCTTTTGTTCACTGTGGCTCCTTGGGCAAATTACTGAACCCCTTGAGCCTCAGTGGCCTTGTCTGTAGAAAGAGGACACCGATATCTAATGCAGTAGTTAAGAGCGTGACCTTGGGTGAGTTACTAAACATCTCAGGGTCTCAAGGGTTTTTTCCTCTGTAACATGGGGATATTAATAGTTGTTATGGGGATTAAGTGAATTATATGTAAAGTGTTTAACACAGTGCTTGGGAGATAGTAAAGACAGTATTTTAGTTACTATCGAACAATGTGTGCAGAGAACTTAGCCAACATGGGGGGAGGTGAGCAGGGAGGTGAGGAGCAGTCCTTTGGCTCAGTTTTGGTTGGGACATAGGAAAGCAAACTGCTACTCTGCCTCAGGTGCTGTCCCACAACCTGTACACAGTCCTGCACATCCCGCACGACCCTGTGGCCCTGGAGGAGCACTTCCGAGATGACGACGATGGTCCCGTGTCCAGCCAGGGCTACATGCCCTACCTCAACAAGTACATCCTGGACAAGGTAAGGCCCAGCTGTGGGGGGCAGGGAACTCCTCTAAACTCTCCCACTTCCCCAGTTTGGCCAGTACCACCCCAACTCCTCCCCCTCTAATAAACTCCCACTTTACCCCCTCTGTCCCTGCTCCCCTATCTCCATCCCAAACATCCTAGTCATTTGCCTCTCCTTGCCCCCATCAGCTCACCCTCAATCCCCCTCATTTCTATCCTAGCCTCCACCCTTCCCACAACCTTCCACTCCATCCTACGCTTACCTCCAGTTTCCAGCTGTAACCTTCACAAAGGGCTCTCCAGCCCACCACAGTCCCTGCCCCATACTGTCCTCTCTGCTTCTCACAGCTGTCACTGTCTTCCCAGGTTCCTCTTGACTATGCACCTCCCTTTGGGTTTCCCCTCCTTTCTCCCCTGGGCTGACGGACTAGTTTCTCTGTTGGCAGGGGACTTGTGTGTGGGGGTGGGGGGGCTGGGGGCTAGAACCAGTTTACTGCCTGTTAATCACTTCAAGGTTTCCTGAATTTAGAACCCTGACTTGGCAGGGTGGGGAGCAGGGACATAGATTAATCAAAGAAACCAAGCAAGAACCTAGCTTGGTGGGAGTGCAGGGATGGGGTGGCCATCTTGGCTGACTTGCAGGCCTGGTGGCAGGTGGAGGAGGGGGCTTTTGTTAAGGAGCACTTTGATGAGCTCTGCTGGACCCTGACGGCCAAGAAGAACTATCGGTTGGATAGCAACGGGAACAGCTTGCTCTCCAATCAGGATGCCTTCCGCCTCTGGTGCCTCTTCAACTTCCTATCTGAGGACAAGTACCCTCTGATCATGGTTCCTGATGAGGTAAGGGTAATGGCAGCTCCAGAGACTGAGTCACTTGGGGCCAGGTCTTAGCAAAACCATGAAGGAGGCCAAAGCTGCCTTCTGTACTTTCCCACTTCCCCTTCCTTCACTGTCTTCCCATTCTAGTAGCTGTCCTTACCCAGCTGTCTCCAGATGCCTACAACTGCCCATATCACAGCAAGTGTGCATCTTCCAATACAACCAAAATTGTACCTCCATCGTGATCTGCAAATTGTATTTACACAGAGTGGTAAATGACTGATACATTACTGAGCATTATAAAGTGAGAACAATTTGGAATCAAATGGTAGGATTTGCGGCACTACAGCAATCTAGGAAGGGAGTTATATGGAGCTATTTGAGGGGAAGGGAGACCTGCCTGTGACATCCTTCCAGTTACTCCAGATGGGCAACCATGTCTGGCCCAGGTTCCAGACCTTTCCCTTCCTCTCTTCTATAATATAGGGGAGAGCCAGGGCAGACTCAACTCAGGGTCCCAGAAAGGAAGGGACTCCTTTCTGCTAGGGCAGCATGAGAGAACAGGCCTAGAATCTGGCCCCTACCTCTTCAACACATAGGTGAAGCCAGGGCAGGTGTCCCCCTTTTCCTGTACACCTGCACCCTCCTTCTGTTCTCGTCTCTCCTCTGCTCATTCCACCTTCTCCTGACCTTTCAGCCCTCTTTATGGCTGTGGAGATGTCAGGTTGAATTTAAGTCTCTGGAGCAGGGAATACCGGGGGGTGGGGGTGGGGGCTCTGTGCTTATAAGAAGGAGTCTTGGCATATCTAACCGCATTTGGATTTGTGTCCTTGCTTCTGTTTGTGGGAAGAATGAGGGGAGGCACCTAAACCCTGAACTGGAGCTCCCACCCCGACTCCTCCCCCAGCTGTGACCCAATAGAACCCAGAGTGAAAGTTCTGGAGATAGTGTCCAGAAGCTGCTGGGGGCAGAACAGGGACATGTGTCCATCTGCAGACGCTTGACTGGCCACCCTTGTCAGATGCCTGTCAGTCAGGACAAGGTGCCCTCTCAGAGGCTAGGCGGCTGCTTTGTTGCTATGATCAACACGCAATATGAACGAACTACAGCAGGATGTACCCCAACCACCACTTCCTGTTCCTCTGTAACGAGTTTCCTGTCCCTGCCCTGCTTATACCCGCCTCCAGTCCCCTTGCCCCCCACAAGGGAAGTGTCTCCAGGGTTGGGGATTGGGACTCGGAATAAGGACCCAAATGGGACCCAGGAGATCCAAATCTGAGTTCTGGCTGCGACCAACTTACTGTATTACTTAGAGCAAGTCATTTCTCCTTTTGGGCCTCAGTTTTGTCATCTGCAGAGTGAGGGTATTGGAATAAAGGGCCCTTCCACCCCCTCTGACATTTTCTATGATTCACTGTCTCTGCCTCACCCCCCAGCCCTCAGCTCCCACCTTCACCCTGCCCTTAATTTAAGGCTGAAAGGAGTGAACTAAGGGTTAGGGACAGGAAGGAGGATACTTGAGTTGGGGTTGGAGCTCCAGAAGGCCCTCCTAAATGTCTACCCTGGTCTCCACCAGATCTGGTCCTCTGGCCCCCCAACTCCCTGCCCCTGCTCCCCTCTGCCCAGGCTCTGGGAGCCAAATGGGGGTGCCCCCGTGGTGTTGGTGCCGGCAATACGGCCTGCTGCAGCCACCAGGCCTTCCTTCTCCCCCTCCAGGTGGAATACCTGCTAAAGAAGGTTCTCAGCAGCATGAGCTTGGAGGTGAGCTTGGGTGAGCTGGAGGAGCTGCTGGCCCAGGAGGCCCAGGCGGCCCAGACCACCGGAGGGCTCAGTGTCTGGCAGTTCCTGGAGCTCTTCAACTCAGGCCGCTGCCTGCGGGGCGTGGGGCGGGACACCCTCAGCATGGCCATCCACGAGGTCTACCAGGAGCTCATCCAGGATGTCCTGAAGCAGGTCAGGCCAAGCCGGAAATTAGGGGAGGACCCTGTGGCTGGGTAAATGGGGACCTGTGAAGACTCTGACTTTGCTCTGGCTGGCAGGGCTACCTGTGGAAGCGAGGACATTTGAGGAGGAACTGGGCAGAACGCTGGTTCCAGCTGCAGCCCAGCTGCCTCTGCTACTTTGAGAGTGAAGAGTGCAAGGAGAAAAGGGGCACTATCCCGCTGGACCAGCACTGCTGCGTGGAGGTAAGGGGGCAGGGGATGGGGTGGAAGACATCTTAGCACCCAGAGGGTCTCTAGGATGGTGTGAAGGCAAGGGACTCAGGAGGAAGACTGATGGAGAAAAGCCACAGTAACACAAATTTCTGCTTGGATGAGTGTACGCCAAATATACCTGGGTGTCTCAAGGCCCTTCTCACCCATGTTAGCACTTTTTTAAAAACTAAAACTGCAAATCAAGCAACAAAGCATTGGTGAATAATGTGGATTTTGCTAAAGATTTCAGAGGAGATGGCTTAGGTCTCACAGCACACCCCAAAACTTTGTAAAAATCTTCTTTAAAGGTCTCTCTTCTTTCCCCTAATTCCATTCTTTTTGGCATCTCTACACCTTCTTATTCTCTCTCAACACCCCTCTCCTCTCCCTCTTCCCTTCTCTTTTTCTCCCTTGGCTCTGTCCATTTTTGTCAAAGAAGAAAACGGGAAAGAGCACAGATCTAGGTAGAAATCCTAGCTCCGCCACTAACAGCCAGTGTGACTTGGGCAAGTTCCTGGACCTCCTGGCACCTGTTTCTTTCTCTGTACAGTGGAGCTAATAATGCTTGCCTGGTAAGGTTTATTGGGAAGAGCAAATAAAATAATGCATGTAAAATAGTAGTACAGATTCTGGAACATAAGCTCAGTATGTAATAGCTATTATTACCCACAAGGAACCGGTGGCACAAATGGTTAAGTGCTCGGCTGCTAACTGAAAGGTTGGTAGTTCTGACCCACCCAGCAGCTCTGAGGGAGAAAGACCTGGCAGTCTGCTTCTGTAAAGATTACAGCCAAGAAAGCCCTGTGGGGCAGTTTTACTCTGTCACATGGAATGGCTGTGGGTTGAAATCTACTCAACAGCCCCCAACAACACACCATTCTTTACCACTAGAATGTAAGCTTAGTGAAGGAAGGGATTTGGCCTGTTAGACAGGCCTCAGTACCCCAAACGCCTAGAACAATGAGTGGCACCCAGTAGATGCTCCAAAAATATGTCTGAAATGAATAAATGGAGGATTTTTTCAACAATCAGGGCTATGTGAAAATTAATGTTCTTGAGTAGTAGGGACCCTGTCACTGGAGTGTTTAAGCATAATCTGCATGAACACTAATCAAGTGGCTACTATGTGCTAGGCTCTTTGGAGAGATACCAAAATGAAAATGGCCCCGCCCCTGCCTTCAAAGGGCAAAGCTACAGAGTTTCCAGGACAGTACCCCCATAACTGTCCAAGACAGGCCGCCTAGGCTTCTGGCAGAGTGGGAGAGGCGCCCTGGGAAGACGGTCAGCCAGAAGGGGTAGGGCTTGAGCTGGAGTCCGCCAGGGGTGGGTGTGACCCCAGTGAGGCCAGCCCAGCTGCCTTCTTCCAGGTACTGCCCGACCGCGAAGGGAAGCGCTGCATGTTCTGTGTGAAGACCGCCTCCCGCACATACGAGATGAGCGCCTCAGACACGCGCCAGCGCCAGGAGTGGACGACTGGTAAGTGCTGCGTGGCGTGGGTCTGCTTGGCCTCTTCTGTGAAAAGTCCTGTGGGAGGCTGGACCTGAGAAACTCCTAAGGCCCCTTCCCGGCAATGGGTCACCTCAGACCCTCTGCTTGCTACCAGCTGACCTCTTCCTGCTCCCTTTGCAGCCATCCAGACGGCAATCCGGCTGCAAGCCGAGGGGAAGACATCGTTGCACAAGGACCTGAAACAGAAGCGGCGTGAGCAGCGGGAGCAGCGGGAGCGACGCCGGGCAGCCAAGGAGGAGGAGCTGCTGCGGCTGCAGCAGCTGCAGGAGGAGAAGGAACGGAAGCTTCAGGAACTGGAGCTGCTGCAGGAGGCGCAGCGGCAGGCTGAGCGCCTGCTGCAGGCGGAGGAGGAGCGCTGCCGCAGCCAGCACCGTGAGCTGCAGCAGGCTCTCGAGTGCCAGTTGCGCGAAGCAGAGCAGGTGGGGCCAACACAGGGGGGAGGAGGCCGTGGGCTCGGTGATAGTGGGGGGCGTGGCCTGGGATCGGAGGACCACCGAGTGGAGGGGCTCAGGGCGGGGCCTGGAACTAGGGTGGAGGTAATGTGTGTGGAGGCGGGACAGAGCCTGTGGGCTTGAAAGATGGATTATGGGACGGGGCCTGTGGCAGGGACGGACACATGAGCTAAAGAGGGTGTAGGGGAGGCGAGAACCAGGCTGAGGGATGCTTGAGTTGAGGGATGGTGTGGGGCGGGGCCTGAACTGATGGAGTTGAGTGATAGATACAGGGTTAGACCTGGTTCTGAGACCTTCGTTAGGGGACGGGGCTTGAACAGGAGACGCTAAAGACTGTTTGATTGGGGATTAGTTTGGACCAAGGCTAGACTAGGTTGGACTAGAGTTGAGCTGAGTTTACAGTGAAACCAATTTGGAGAATGCAGTATGCGAAGGCGGCCTAGGCATGCAGAGGCAATTAGGTTTAGGGTTTAAGAGATCTGGATCTGGAGTTAGACGCATGGATTCAATCCCAGCCGTGCCTCTTAGGAGCTCTGTGTTCTCAGGCAAATTACTTAGCTTCTTTGTGCCTCAGTTTCCTTGTCAGTGAAATGTTGATGCTATGAGTCAGAATCGACTCGCGACAATGGGTTAATAGTACTTTGCTCATAGGAAAAAAAAAAACAACCCATTGCTGTCGAGTTGATTCCGACTCATAGAGGTACAGCAAAAAAACCCGTTGCAGTCAAGCGAGACTCATAGTGACCCTGTAGGACAGAGTAGAACTGCCCCATAGGGTTTCCAAGGCTGTAATCTTTACGGTAGCAGACTGCCACATCTTTCTCCCCAGGACCAGCTGGTGGGTTGAGCTGCTGACCTTTCAGTTAGCAGCTGAGTACTTAACCACTGCCCCACCAGGGCTCTTCCATACAGATTAAAAAAAAAAAAAAAAAAAACCATTGCCGTCGAGTCGATTTCGACTCAGGGACCATATAGGGCAGAGTAGAAGTGAGGATTAAATGAGAAAACATCTTTAAAGTTTTCAATACCTTCTAGTTGTTATGATAATAATTATTATTGCTATAATTCTTATTGGAGCCCTGGTGGTGCAGTGGTTAAGAGCTCGGCTACTAACCAAAAGGTCTGCAGTTGAAATCCACCAACTGCTCCTTAGAAACCCTGTGGGGCAGTTCTGCTCTGTCTTACAGAGTCGCTATGACTTGCAATCAACTCGACAGCAATGGTTTTCTTTTTTACAGTTATTGTTAAGGCTGATGCTAAGAAGAAGGTGACCTGAGCTCCTTTCCCCCACATGATACCTGTTTGGTGATCGTTATGCAACCCAGCTAGGCTGTCGGAAAGGGTCAGATCAGAAAACCCCCACATGGAGGGACTCCCCCCACCTTCACCGCCAGATAGCCTGGCTGGGCTGGCCTGGCTGGGCCCTGGGGAAAGGGCATCATGACCACCCCGACTCCCCAGAGCCCCCAGTGACCTGGCTCTGTGTCCTGCACAGGCCCGGGCCTCCATGCAGGCTGAAATGGAGCTGAAGGAGGAGGAGGCTACCCGGCAGCGGCAGCGCATCGAGGAGCTGGAGGAGATGCAGCAGCGGCTACAGGAGGCCCTGCAACTGGAGGTGAAAGCTAGGCGGGACGAGGAGGCTGTGCGCCTTGCCCAGACCAGGTAGGCCTGAAGGACCCCTCCTGGTTCCCGCACCCCCTTTCTGTTCTCCTACTTACTGAGCACCTGTGAGGTGCCTTAGCACTGGAGACAACCAAGTGCTCACCCGGCAGACTGCTGGAGGAGGAGGAGGAGAAACTGAGGCAGTTGCTGCAGCTGAAGGAGGACCAGGAGCGCTACATCGAGCAGGCACAGCAGGAGAAGCAAGAGCTGCAGCAGGAGATGGCGCAACAGAGCCGCTCCTTGCAGCAAGCCCAGCAGCAGCTGGAAGAGGTGCGGCAGAACCGGCAGCAGGCAGATCAGGAAGTGGAGGTGAGGCCTGGTGTGGGATAGGGTAGAGGCTGGTGGAGTGAAAGCTTTAACACAGTAACTAGGCTAGGTGGCCTTCCCCTAAACCCTGGCTGCCACCAGCTGGCTGAGTGGCGTCAGGCAAATTGCCTAACCTCTCTGAATTCCACAATGGTCAAGTGCTCCACTGCTAACAGAAAGGTTGGCAGTTGAACCCACCCAGAGGCTCTTTGGGAGAAAGACCTGGGGATCTGCTTCCATAAAGATTATAGCCTAGAAAATCCTATGAGGCAGTTCTACCTGTCACATAGGGTCACTATGAGTCAAAATCAACTCGATGGCACCTAACAACATCTGGGAAAAGGGACTGGTAATAGCATTGTTGGATCCCTGGATGGCCAAATCGGTAAGCGGTTAAACGCTGGAATAGGACTACTAGCCCAAAGGTTGGCAGTTCAACCCCCTCCCACCAGAAGCACCTTGGAAGACAAGTCTGGCGATTTGCTTCCGAAAAGGTCACAGCATTGAAAACCTTATGGAGCAGTTCTACTCTGCACACATGGGGTTGCCATGAATCAGAATTGACTGGACAGGGACTAACAAACAAGCATTGTTATGAAGATCAAACAAGATAATACTTGATAGGATGTAGTAAATGCTAAAGAAACGTTAGCTGCTTTTTTTGTTGTTATTATTAATCTGGGCAAAGCTTTTTCCTCCTACTCTTCCAAGCCCGTGCCTTGCTATCCCTGTCCTTGAGCGCCACTTGTTGGAGCCTGTATCTTTTTTTTTTTTTAAAGGTACAGAAGAGGGTTTCTTTTTTAAAAAACAAAAATCTATTATTATTTTATTTTTTTCAT